GGAGCAGCAGAGTGCGGCGCCTGGCGGTCCACACGTGTTCTCACCATCTGCGGAGCAGTGGGGACTCTGGAGCTGTCTGGGCACAGGGTGAAGACACTGGTGCCGCACAGTGGTTGGCAGGTCCTGAGAGTCAGGCAGAGGTCGGGGTGTATTTTGAGGGCACTGGGAGCCTGGGGAGGTGGGGGGCTAAGAGGGCGCCTAGGCAGGCTGAGCTTGACCCAGGAGGAGGGAAGGCGAGAGCCCCCTGCCTCGGTGGCTTAGAGAAGATGATCTGCAGAGACAGAGGTCCCAGCACTGTGGGGCTGGGCCCCCCTTGCCCGTTGGGCCCTGGCGCCAGCTCTGCTGATTGGTGGGCTGGCTGCCCCTACAGGCAGGGCTGAGTCAGCGTCTGAAAGGTGGTTCCCACGGTCTCCATATTCCTGGGGGCCAAAGGCCATGCCATCCCTCTCCGGCCTCCCAGTGGGTCACTGCCCAGGGCACTGACGATCAGGACTGAAAGGAGACTAAGATGTCCACTCCACCCACCCGACCAACCAGCCAGGGCTCAGGCAGTCCTTTCTGCCCTCTGGCTAAGTCCCATCCCAACGCTGGCCAGGCATTCCACCCTGGAGGGTCGAGATACTGTAGTCATCCATACTTTGGTTTTATTTTAAAACAGTGAAAAGAAAAATAAATATCTTTGAAAAACAAGAATACAGGAGTGGGGTGGGTAGTGGGGCTGGAGATTGGCGGTGTCCTGGCTTCCGTGGTCTGGGCTGGAGTGCCAGGGGCCCAGGGTCTACAGGCCCCCTCCTGCCGCGCCAGGCCCTGCCTCATCCCCGCTGGGAGGTCTGGGGGCTCGCCAGCCTCGCCTGCCCGGGCTCCCAGGCCGGGCGCTGCGTCAGCAGATCAGGCTCCGCGCGGGGATTAGCACCAGGCGCCCGCCTGCGCCAGGGGCCGCCCGAGGGCGAGCTGGGGGCTCTTCTGCCGGCCGCCCCATGGGGACCCCAGGGCCGGGCCTGGCTTAGTGCCCGAAACTTCAGTGATGACCCATGTCCTCCATGCCCACGCGGCCCCAGACGCCCAGCACGAAGCTCTCGATGTCACATTCGTTGGCGCCTCGCACGATACGAAAGTGGCCCCTCTCACCCCAGGAGGGGCCCCATGAGTTGGCCGCGGTCTGGGAATAAGAAGCGCGGTGAGGAGGGGAGGGGAGAGGGCGAAGAGGGAGCAGGGGAGAGGCAGCAGTCGGGGGCGGCGGGACTCACCCAGTATTTGAGCGTCCTTCCGTCGGGCAGCCGCTCCTCTCCCCACCTGGCAGAGAGGGGAAGGGCAAGGGCGCTGATTGGCCCGCTCTCGGGGGCGGGAACCCTTTTTGCTTTTTGAGCAACACCCTTAGGACTTGGGGACTCTCTGTCCCTCTCTGCATCCCCTCAGCCCCGCCCCCCATCTCTGAGTCTGTGTGCCCACGCTCAGTGTGGGGGAGACACTAAGGGTATAGGGGAAGGGGGAGACAAAAGAAGTGAACGTGGATCTGGTCCTCCAGGGCCCCACATGGTGAGACCTCACATATCTGCCTCTCTTCCCTTGCAGCCAAAGAGGGGTACCTACCAGGGACTGGAGGAAAAGACCTGGAGGGTGTGGGCACCTTAGAGGCCCCAGACTCCCTGCAAACACACTCCTTTAGTGGACCTTTCATTGCGTACTGAAATGGGTGATCCCACCGTCTCCTGTGGTATCAGAGGGGGAAACTGAGGTCTGGGGGAGTGACCTGCCCTGATTCCTGTGCCTGCCAGAGCTGGGACAGGTGCTGAGGTGAGAGAAGCTGAGCAACTCTTGAAACCTTGTCTGTCGTTTCGTCCCCAGGGCTGTTTTATCACTGTCTAAGGAAGGAATGGTTTCTAGAGCTCTTAAAAGCTCCCCACTCTCCCTGTGACTCAGAGCAAGCGCCTCCTCTTCCTGAGCCTCGTTTTCCTCCTTTTGAAGCACGGGAAGCAGTCCTGACTTGGTAGAGGTCACAAGGACTCAAAGCAGGTCCCCAGTGCAAGCCCTGCTGCCCCCAGTCTCCCTCTGCCCACGAGTCTCTCACCCTGTGATCTTGACCGAGTGGGTCCCGTGTCGGCGATACTGCTCGGGTCTGCTCAGGCTCACGGGCGTGTGGCTGTAGATGCCACCCTGGTACAGGAAGAAGTCCTCATGAACCTCCATGAGCGCTGTGGGCAGAGATCAAGGGAGGCCCCACTTAGTCCTCCAGTGTAGGACCTGCTGCTGTTCCATGTGCCCAGACACCGGGACCTCACCCTGCAAGACTCCATCCGGGGCCTGCCTGTGAGGAGGGGACAAGCCTCACGCCTGGCCTCACTGCACTTGCTGCTCAGTGCCATAGAGACCTCCTGGGCCACCGTACCTAGCCTCGAGCAGACACCAGCTTCTGGAGCCGGGGCAGAGAACACTCACCTTGGACGGGGCCATTCTCCATCAGTTCCTTCATGATCTCCTGCTCCTGGAGGGAGGAGATGGGGCAGGAGAGCCCCCATCAAGAGTGAGACTCTGGCCTCTGGTCACCCCCCAGCTCTCCTGCCTCTGCCCCCTCACCCGTGTGCAGACTTACATTGGAGCCCAGGCGGTAGGCAGGAGTGACCTGGTAGATGTCATTGGCATGGACATGGCTATTGGGGCAGCGGGCAGTGGCCTGGCGCTTACCCCGACCCATGGCCCGGCTGTGCATCATGCAGGGGGGTGCAGGACCAGCCTCATCCCGCTCACGACCCGAGAACGGATAGCAGTGGTCAGACACAACCCTGGGAGACAGCAGAAGGGAACAGGGTCAGTGATGTGGTGCGCATGGCCCAGGCCCTGCCCACAGGTGCCTTGCCCACTCCCCCGCCAGCCCCTCGCTGCATACCCTCGACGTCGGAGGAACCACCAGGCACCGTCCAGACGCCCACCGCGGCAGCCTTGCTGGTGGTGGGTGTCACAGGACAGCAGGTTCTGGGGCGACAAGACTGGCGTCATGTGTCCCAGAGAATGGATTGAGACCCGATCAGAGGCCACAGCTGGGGGAAGCAGAGGGGCCGTCAGGGCCAGGCCCTGGCTCGCCTTCCCCGGGGCTAGCCCTGCCCTCAGACTCACCCGCCGTGGAGAAGGCCCAGGAGCCTGCGCAGTTGCCCTGGTCCAGCGGCTCGTGGATCAGATTGGGCCACTTCTCGGAGGCCTCGAAGGCCGCGGGCAGCACCTCCCCTGGGTTTAGCACCGTCTGCAAGGCAAAGGTGGCCCTGTCTGCTGCCTGCCCTGGCGTGGCCTGTCCCTCAGGAGCACTGTGGTGTTGGAGGACCACCAAGAATCCGGGGCCTTCCTTCCGCAGTTGGAGCCAGGGCCTCCTGTGGCATGAGACTCCAGCCGCCTCCACCTCCAAGGAGAGTGGAAGAACCAGGCGCCATTAGCGCCTCCGTGCCGCTTTACAGGTGAGGTGCCGAGGCCGGACCGGGGATGTGGCCCCACCGGGGTCGCCCACTTTCCATTGCCCACCCCTGCCCTTTCCTTCTGCCCCTTCTGATCTACCACACCCGCCTTCCTGCAGGGCCTTGGCCTCCAAGCCCCAGAGGGCAGGGGAGGGAAGAAGCAGTGGCGTCCCGTGACCAGGCAGGCGGCCAAGACAAACAGCACCAGGCAGAAAATAACCAGAGGCCCGCAGAAGTAAGGCAGGGGTGGTAGGGGCTGGTCACCCCAGCCTTGGGCCAAGGTCTCTCTGCAGGAAGGGCCAGCCCCTGTATCTCCCCTGCCTGCTGCTGATGGACCGACCCTCCGGGTGTGCTCCAGCCCAGTCCTGCTGCTTTCTTCCTCCCCCAGAGGGTCCCACTGGTGGGAAGGAGAAACCCCCTCCTCCCTAGGGGTTCTGCTGAGTCCGCATTTGTTCCAAGAATTGCTGCTCTCTGGCCAGAGCTGGAAGAGCGTCAGTCCTTCCTTTCCTAAAATACCAAGGTGACCTCCTGGCCGCTGGGGCCCTGGCCCAGCTCTGTTGGATCCAACAACATTTTTCCCAGGCTGAGGAGGCAGGAGGGACCAAGCTGGGACCACACAGCTCAGCTCTGAGCCCAGCACCTCTCACGCAGCACATCTGGTTATAAGCAGGCAACAAAGGCCCAGAGAGGGCAGTGATCTACCTAGGGACACACAGCCTGATAATAGGGGACAAGTCTGAGCCCTTGTAGGAGCTTGCAGATTGCAGATTGGCACTGCAGGCAAGGGTGGACTTACATAGATCTCGTTCATGTTCATGACAGAGGAAGATGGGCGGATGGTGCCCAGGCGGTAGCGAATGCCCTCATCCAGCGTCATGCCCCAGAAGGCACTGTGGTTCCCAGCCTGCCACCTGAAGGAGAGGGGACGGAGGGACTCAGAGGCCTCCCCTCACATTGAGGGGAGGGGTGCCTACTGGCCAGAGGGGTGCCGTGTGCCCGCCTCGGTGTGCATCTCTGCGGAGCACCGGTACCTGCCGGGGGACGTGCAGGCTCCTACCCGTAGTTGCCCTGGTTGATGGCGTTGATCATGTCCAGGTCCACCAGGCACGGCTCCTGGTCACACTCCCACTGCCCCTTCTCCTGGCAGGTGCTGACAAGGACAGGAGGGAAGGAGAGTGAGTGGGGAGCTGGGGACTCTGCAGGGACGCGGCCTCTGGGTCAACGTGGGCCTGGGATTTGGTACCGGCCACCGTGGGAGAACCCTCAGACACTCCCACCCGGCCTGGTGGCTTCGGTGCCAACTTCGAGTTCACAGTTCTCAAGTTTGTGGCCACTGCCCAGCTCACTGCCTGATCTCCAGAGCCACGGGCCTCACTGCAGCCCAGACTAACATTCCGCAACCCAAATCCTGACCTTACTTGTCACAGCGCCCAGCTCACCCTTCCCGGGAGTCCTTGACGCCCTCCTGCCTGGGATCCAGCCATGGGCCAATCCTCTGTCTACCTTGAACACACTCGGGATTCCAAACCACCTGTCCAGCAGCCCCCCCCCCCCCTCCGCGGGATTACCACTCGGCCTCATTGTTCCTTAACCTGCCCTGTTGCCCGACGTCCCCCCCTGGGATATTTTTAACACAGCCACAGAGCCGTCCTGCTAAACCTAACTCATGCTGTGCCTCTGCCCAAACCCTCCATTGGCTTCACATCACAGAACACGAGCCAAAGTCCTCAGGTGACGACAAGGCCTGCACCATCTGTCCCCTTGTCCCTTCTCTGACCCCCTCCCTCCAAGGCTCCAGCGAGGCTGAATGCTCACACAGCCCCCACTCCTGCCCCAGGGCCTTTGAGCTGCCCTTCCTCCCACCTCCCCATGGCCCACTGTCATTTTCCCCAAATCTTCAGTCAAATGTCTCCTTCTCAGGGAAGCCTCCTCTGGCCACCCTATCTTTTTTTTTTGTCTGGGGGAGGTACTAGGGATTGAACTCAGGGGCACTCAGCCACTGAGCCACATCCCCAGCCCGATTTCAAATTGTATTTAGAGACAGGGTCTCACTGAGTTGCTTAGAGCCTCGCTTTTGCTGAGGCTGGCTTTGAACTCGCGATCCTCTTGCCTCAGCCTCTGCAGCCGCTGGGATTACAGGTGTGCACCATTGGGCCCAACCTGGTCACCCTACCTTACAATTCAGCATCCTCCATACTTCCTGTCCCTCTTCCCTGTCTTTCTGTTTACCTTGGCAGGTCACCAACCCTGACACCCTACAGCTGACATGGTTTGTACCCATTTCCTAAGACCCTTGGGGGCAGGTATTGGTTGGCATCTTCAGAGACTAGGAAAATTAAACCCAGCTCATAGTGGGCACCCAATAAATACTTGTTGAGTGACCGAGAGACGGAGGCGGTACAATGAGGGGGCTAAGAGTGAGCAGATTCTGGGGTTCCAATCCTGGGTTCCAATCCTCACCGCCTCCTTGTGTGAATTTAGGAAAGTTATTTAAACTCTCTCCCTCAGGGTCCTGTCTGTAAAGCAGGATAATAATAGTCCACTTTCCAGGGATTAAGTAACAGATCGTAAAGTACTTAGCCCAGGGCTGGCCCGCCTAGGTGCTCGGAATTGTTCTGGACTATGATTGTTCTCACAGGAACCCCAGCCCCCCTCCTCCTGGGCTTCAGACTCACATCCAGCTGACCTCCTGACACCTCGGGATGAGCAAAGGCATCTCGGATTTAAAATAGCCAAATGGCCTTCCCCCGGCCGCTCCTCCCAGGATCCTCAGCTCAGAACACAGCACCCAGCTGCTCAGATCCAAAGGCTGCAGGGTCAGCCGTGTCCCTCGCAGTCCCCGTCAGCAGGCTCTGGGGATGGCACCCAGGGGACCCTCGACCCTCTGCTGCGGCCAACCTGCTCCAGGCCCTCCTCATCGCTCACCTGGTCCTGGACAAGGGCTTCCTGGCCAAGTCCCTGCCTCGCTGTCCCCCGCCCCATCTCCCACCTGCTCTGAAGCAGAGGCCTGTGAGCAAAGTGAGCCAGACCGTGGGCTCTCCAGGAGGCTTCCTGTGACACTCGGGACACCCGGGACTCCTCGGCCCAGCTGGGAGGCCGTGGATCGTGGCTAACCTCCTAGAGCCACTCCTAGCTCCCAGCCTTCCCACAAGCACGTCCCCTCCCTGGGCCAGGGCTGCTGGTCTGTCTCCTACCCATTCCTTGGGGTCAGTAGAAATGTCCCTTCCTCAGAGCGCCTTCCTCCTTCCCTCTGACCCTACACAAGGATCCCCATCATCCTCTCTTTCCCCCTAACACCTGGAGCAGCTTGTATTCTTATATATATTTGTGGGTTTTTTCCATGTCCTTCACCATTAGCCTAGAAGCTCCTGTGGGACAAGGACTGTTGGGTCACTTTCTGGCTGCGCCTAGTGGGCCCAGCATGGTGCCTGTGGCGCAGTAGGTCTGTGGGGACGTGGTGTGGACTGAGGGTGGGCTGCTGTGCACTCGGTGATGCTGTTCCGAGCTCCTAACTGCTGATACAAGATGCTGCTCCTTCCAAGCCAGCCCGAGGCACCCGCCTCCAATGTCACCTTATAAGGAGCCTCAAGGGGAGCCAAGCCCCAGTATGGCTGGATCTCCAGGCCAGAGCCGAGTGGGTGGCGCTCAGAGCTCAGAGCGCTGGAGGTGTCCATGGGGGCAGGGCGGCCCTTGTCCTCTGTCCCCTCTGCGCAGCGGGCAGCAGCCGCTGGGCTCTCTGGCAGCTCTCCCCCCCAGGTGCGGGCAGCCTGCAGGGCGCCCACTGCCCCGTGTGAGGTGCTGGGGACGTACCACCTGAGCAGTCCTGAGGGGCCGGCAGGGGTCGGTCAGCGCTCTCCTGTCCTGCCTCCTGCGCCCCAGGGCTGCCCAAGCAGGTCTAGACAGGGCTGATGGCAGCAGGTCCCAACATTCCAGAGGGGACCTGGGACAAGGGAGAGTGTTAACCCCTCGGTGTCCACCCCACCAGGACCCGCAGAGTCCTGGGGCCTGCCTCCCGCTTCTGAGCACACCCCAGAGTGCTGCTCCCCCTGTGACCCAGGCACCCCTCACCCCGTGAGGCCATGGAAACAGCTTATGTGCAGCGCATTCCAAAAAGTCTCCTTCTCCCTGGGGCCTCCCAGACCCAGGCAGAGGCCGGGGCGGAGCCAGTGCCCGTCTCCCCTCTCCAGGGTGGCCTTCACTTCCCAGGACCCTTCCCACTTCCCGCCAGGGACCCCTCCTCCTCCTCCGGGGTGGTGGGCAGGGGGAGCGGAGGGCCGCATTCCTGGGACGGCCCCGTGCAGCTGGCTGGCTGCCCGCCCAGCCATCCCTGACCCCGTCCGCCCAGGGCAGCGGATGCTGCAGTCAGAGGTTTCCTTCCTGGCGTCCCCGTCCCCTCCTCGGACTCTCCCAGGACAGCAAGAACGTTGGGAGGGGCGGTGGCCCAGCCCAAGCCAGGAGGGCGGGAAGGACTGGGGGTGGCACCTGGGCCCGGCCACTATGGCCGACTGCTCCTGGGAGTGTGTTGGAATGCCAGGGTGAGAGCTGGCAGGGGCGGTCACGGCTGAAATGCCCACGTTACAGATGAGCAGCTGAGGCTCGGAGAGGGGAGAGGATCTGTCCCCAGGACCTGGGGACAGGGATAGGGTTTTAACCAAGTCTGTTGGCCACGAGGCTCATGAGCCCAGCCCCTCCAGGCCCCACTCACTCACCAGCGGTTACAGTTGTCCCAGTAGGTCCCAAAGACTGGATAGATGCGCCCCCTGTGCTCGCATCCTGGAGGACGGAAAGAGAGGGGAAGTGGAAACAGAGAACACTGAGGTGGCCACGTCCCCAGAGGGTAGGTGCCCTCGACGCCCTCCCCCAGGTCACCTCTCACATACACACACGCCGACCCCCACTCCCCCCGAAACTAAAGCCAAACTATAACTCAGACATCCCCTGCCCGTTGCTGTGGCCCACGCCTGAAATCCCAGCAATTCAGGAGGCTGAGGCAGGAGGATGGCAAGTTCAAGGCCAGCCTGGGCAACTTAGTGAAACTCTGTCTCAAAATTAAAAATTTAAAAAAGGCCGGGGATGTAGCTCAGTGGCAGAGCACCCCTGGGTTCAAAACCCAGTGCCCCAGGGATCGGGGGAAAGACATCTCCTGGGGCACACATCAACTTCTACATGGGAAGTTATTCAGTGACTCCAACGCGAATCCCTCTTGCTTCACTTGGAGGCCAGCCACAACATTCCTGGGATCCTTTGCCATTTAAATAAGTTGGGGCATAGAATTGGGGTGGGGATGGTGAGGCCCAGAGAAGGCAAGCAATGCCCTTAAGATAACACAGCACTTTGGGATAGCAACCCCGGTGTGCAGCCTCCTTGCTCAGAGCCCCCACGGCCCCGCACCCTGGGAGGGGATTCCAGAGCTTCTCCTGAGAGCCAGTGCATGGAAAAGGACGTGATGGAAGCCGAAGGTTGAAGGCAGAAAGAGATCTGACCCACCTCCCAGGTATGACCTATCTCAGAGGTATGGAATCCTGAGCAAAGGCAGAGTTGGCTGAGGTGACCCTGGCCAACCCCTGTGTGCTCTATCGGCCCAAGGGTGAGTCAGCGGGGCGGGCCAGCACCTTCCCCAGTTGGACAGGACTGGGAGAAAGGACTGGAGGCTGTCTTCCCTTGGGGGGGAGGGCCAGCTTCTCTTTCAGTCTTACTAGAGAGAGTCAAGTTAGACCACAAGAGGGACTTCCCTCCTGTGGGAAGGGTCTCTTTCCCAGACACTGAAAAGCCTCCCCTAGAAATGTCCAGGCACCAGCCTTACTCCTGCGGCTTGCTGAGCCTGGGGCTGACAAGGTGACTGCCCTCTTGGTCGTCTTGGTGCCCACCTTGGATGGGAGGGAAGGGGGGCGGCACGCCGAGGCAGAAGTCCCAGAAGTCAGGGCAGCAGTCGGAGACGGTGCGGTTGCAGAAGAGGTCACAGTAACAAGTGGCGCCCAGGTAGGGCAGGGCACAGTCGTCAGCACGGCCACGGCAGCACATGTCCTGCTCCTGGCAGTACCGGCCACCCGCGTCCCGGATGCCCCGCAGGTGCAGACCCGGGGCCAGCTCCCGGCGCCAGCGACCCCGCCGGGCGCCCAGGGCTCCCTGGCCAGCCAGCAGCAGCAACAGCAGCAGCCCCGAGGGACAGCGCCACATGGTGCCTCCTGGGCCGGAGAGGGCAGAGGGCAGGGTCAGAGGCGGTGGCATCAGAAGCCCCTGACACACCAAGGGTCACCCCCACCCGGCTTCCTGGAGTTGCGAAACCAAGGAGGGGTTTAGCAGGTGGGGACCCGCAGGGCAGGGGAACCAAGGCTTTGTGACTTGGCTTATGTTGGGGAGGGACCTGGACATGGAGTGGAGCCCCTGCCTGACCTGCACAGGGACCTCCGAGGACCAGGAAACGGGGTGGTGGCATTCTTGGGGCCCCCGTGCGGCTCTCATCCTGCGCGCCCAGGTCCTCTCTCCTGCACCAGGTCCCTCGGCCCCTCCCTGTCCCTGACCTGGGTCCTGACTCGGAGCCTTCCCAACCCCTCCCCACTCCCCGCGGTGTCCCCGGTCCCTCTCCACTGTGCCTCTCTGGCACCGTCTGGCCCCTCCACCTGCCCGTCCCTCTCTCTGCTCCTTCTCGGTCTGCACCCTCTGCCCTCTGAGCAGAGGAGCTCCCTACCTGGTGAGGGGTGTGGGCTGGGCCCGGGCTGCCCTCCGCCTCCTGGCTCCGCGCTGCCGGACACAAAGTCAAGTGAGGAGCACGGGGCGGGACCGCCTTTTGTACCGCCCCACGGCCGGCCGTGCCCGCCCGGCCGCCGGGCTGTGGGAGGGAGGAGCCAGCTCGTTTGCACCTGGAGCAGACCACAACTCAGGGCTTGCAACGCAGGGAGGGGACAGGCCCAAGGACAAGGAGCTTGAGGTTATCCTCCTTAGATTTTGACAAGTGGAAGTCGTTCCTTTTGGAGGTAGAACTGTAAATCAAGCAGAAAGGATTGTGGTCTGACATTAAGAAGGACTTACCATGGGGCCGAGGAGCTTTCCTAGAGAGCGGGAGATGGGGCCAACTGAGCTCAGACTTAAGAGTGCCAGGGACAAAATCTCCCAGCTCCCCCTCTGGCCTTGCACACCCCGGGTCACGGTGACCTGGGCTGGGGGCGGCCCCAAGCTGCCTGGGCAACAGGAATGATTGGAATCCTCCGGAGCAGGATTGAGGAACCTGCAGACACCCCGGCGCTCATCCCAGGAGGCAGGGACAGGACTGGCCCCTCCACACCCTGCAGCAGTGCTGGTGCTGTCCTTCCCTCTGCTGGGCCCGCCCTGAACACAACTGTTCCCTCCGTCAAACCCACATCCTACTGGGCACCTGTTCCCCTGGGAGGGCCCAAGGCAAGAGCAGCCAGCTGGGGGCCCCCTACCAAGCACCCCACTTCCTGCCTGAGGCCCCAAACAATGAGGCCTCTGTCCCCCAGGCCTGCTGTCACCTTTTACCTCCCGTTGCGCAATCCCCCCTCCCCGAGGGTGGGGCCCAGGCGGGGGCTCTGCAAGCGGGGGGAGGGGACACTACACCTGGGCAGGTCCCTGCCACAGCCCTGCTCTCGGAGAAGCCCTGGGAATTCCCTGCGCCTCTGCCCCTCCCCCAGCCAGGGCATCCTCAGCCAGCTGGCCCCTGGCAGAGGCCGAGGGACCAGGACAACGGGCGCTTGTGGCTGGGCCACCCTCTGCTATGGGACAGTGGGGGTGAGTCACCAAGGGGTCCCGCCCTGGCGGTGGGGGCAGTGTCCAGTCCCACACAGGCACTCGCATACTCTGAGCGGCCCCTGCTCCCTGAGGGACTTGGGAAAACACTGAGGCTCAGGGCAGATTTGCTTGAGGCCACGCAGCCAGAACAGAGGCTCCTACCTTCTAGCCACCCCCTCTTCCCGGTCACCTAAGTCACCCCTGCCCGTCTCCTCCTGGTTGGGAAGTCATTCTTCCTATATAACCTCCATTCATCTTACTGTAAGGCAGATGGGTCCCTTGGAATTGGCAGAGGTCATGTCCTCTGGGTGGAGACAAAGGCTGCCTTCAGAAGTCACCCGGGGCACCTGCTTTCACAGACGGGCTCGGGCTCCATGGCTGTGGGCTTGGGACTGGCTCAGGGGCCCCAGCCTGTCTATTGGCCCAGATCACTGTGGGTGCTGCCCTCGGGAGTGTGTGGCACGTGTGCCCATGTGGCATATTCCCAAGCATTTGTGTCTGTGGGAGTTTCTGCTTGAGTGGCGGTTGATCTGTGTCTGTCTGTCCATCTGTCTACCCGCCTGTCTGTTGCACGCCTGCGTACCTGCATGTCTGGACATTTTGCCCGTCTGCCAGTTCTTGTCTGTCTGTCTGCTTGTCTACCTGCTCACTTGTCTGTCTGCATGTGTGTTCGTGTTCCTCTGGAAGTTGTCTGTCTGTCTGTCTGTCATTTGCCTGTGGGCGTGGGCTTGCTGCTTGGGTGCCTGAGCGTGTGGCTCTGCAGCTGGTCTGTCCAGTCCACCTGTCCTCGAGGTGTTCATGTCTCAGTGCCAGTGTCTGCTTGTGTCTGCCTGGGCTTCTAGCTGTCTGTCTGTCCTTGTCGTCGTCTGTCTGTGCATAGGAGGCAGGAACACCCCGCAGGGGAAGAGGGCAGAGCCAGGAGCAGCCCCCATCATCGCGGGGCTTGGCGCTGAGCCCACCCCAGTGGAATCTAGTGACTCACTGGGTTTTGTGGCCAAGGAGCAGAGGAAGAGGGCAGGGCCGGGGGCTGGACACGCGCTTTCCTTTTCCCCTCCCTCCCAGTGACTCATGGTGTCTTATTCTTGCCCAGAGAGGGGCTCGGTCCCAGGGCCTGGGACAGAGCAGCAAGTGAGAGACACAAGTGACTCTTCCCCTGGAGGCCTTCCCTGGAGGCAGGTGACCTGTCCTCCCTCATAGGGGACTCTGGGCAGCACTGGCCCTGTCTGGTCTTGGCCTCCCAACTGCTGCCTGGAGACCCTCCCACGCTCCCCTCATTCTACAGGGAAGGTGAAGCCAGCAAGGGGCAGTTACACACCCAAGGACTCACAGCAGAGCAGAGGCCTGGTCAGGGCAGCCGTTCTCCACCTCGGTCCCCGGCTGAGGACCCGACATGTGGGGTCCCAGCACCTCAGCCAAGGCTCGAGCTTCCACAGACAGCCCCCTGTCCAGAGCTGTGATCTGGCCTGAGTCAGATCCAGGCCAGGCCTGGTGGGCAGCATGCTGGGGTGGGTCCTGGTGCACGGGCCCCCGGGGGCCTCTGGACTCTGCTGTGAGAAACACCCATGGAGGCTGAGTGGAGGCTGGGAGGCCGAGTGGAGGCTGGGTGCCAGGTGCTGGGGCTTGTGGGAGATAAGATTCGGGGCCACGGAGGGGGTGCCACGCCCTCCAGCGCAGCTTCAGGTTTTCATTCATTCAACAAATACTTGCGCTGCGTGCCACATGCCCAGGTTGACCAGACAGGCCTCGCGCTGCTGCCGTGCAGTCTGCCATCTAACGGGAACACAGACCCGAAGGAGCGCGGCCGACCAAGACGTCACTGGGCAACATGAAGCGCCGGACGGTCTGCACGCAGCGTGAGGGCCGGGATCGCTGCGAGAGCAGAGAGTGGCCACCCAAGGATGAGAAGACCGTAGCCCTTCCTAGCGCCCAGGGCAGCCGCAGGAGCAAAGCCCTGAGACCCGGCCCCCGCTGGTCAGCTGGAGCAGCCGCAGGCCGGGGAGCAGCTGGACGACTGGGAGGCAGGCTCCGGAGAAGCAGGAGGGGGCTGGGAGCAGCTGGCCAGGCCGCAGGACCCGGGGCTGTGGTAAGGAGCTGGGATTGTCTTTCACCACTAAGGAGTTTTTTGTTGTTTTTTGTTTTTTTATACTGGGTGATTGAACCCAGGGGTACTACCCACTGAATCATATCCCCAGCCCTTTTTAATTTTGAGGCAGGACCTTGCTAAGTTGTTTAGGGCCTCGCTAAGTTTCGGAGGCTGTCCTTGAGCTTGAGATCCTCCTGCTTCAGCCTCCGGACCTGCTGGGGATTACAAGCTTATGCCACGGCCCCCGGCTTGCCACTGGAGATATCTACATGTGAAATGAGATGATTTTGATTTGCACGTACAAAAACCTTCTCTGGCTGCTGGGTAGAGAACAGAGTATTATAGGGGACAAGGCTCCGGGTGCTCTGGGCTAGCCGTGCTCATTTGATGGAGGCTGGTGGCATGGCAGTCAGAGGCGGGCCCTCTGAGGCATCTTGGGAGAGCAGGATTGTCAAGACTTGCTGCAGGACGGGATGTGGGGGCAGATATCCAGGAAGCTGCTAGATTTCTAGTGAAACCTCTGCTCCTCTTCCTGTCGTGAGGCAAAGATGTTCCCTCCCCTTGAATTTGAGTGGGCTCCTGATGGCTTTGACCACAGAGCAAGTGTGACCTAGGCTGGTTCCCAGCTCAAGCTGGACGAGAGGAAGCAGGATGGGTTCAGAGCGACCCACATTAGAAGTCTGGCAGAGAGGCTGGGTGCTGTGGCACATGCCCGTGGTCCCAGCTATTCAGACGGTGGCGGCAGGAGGATCTTGTGAGCGCAGGAGTTCCGGGCCAGCCTAGCGAGACCCAGGTCTAAAAATATCTGGCAGGCCAGGCCCAGTGGCACATGTTTGTAATCCCAGCAACTGAGGCTGGAGGATTGCACGTTCAAGGCCAGCCTCAGCAACTTAGCGAGATGCTGTCTTAAATAAAAACTGAAAAGGGCCGGGATGTAGCTAAGTGGCCAAGTGTCCCTCGGTTCAGTCCCTAGAACCAAATAAATTAGATCAGTGTCTGGCTGAGGGGAGGGAGTGGTGAGGTAACTGAGCAGGAGTGACCAGGGGGTTGGGAGGGGGAGTCAGGGGAGAGCCATGTCCAGAAGCCCAACCAAGAGATTCAAGAAGCAGGGAGAGGGCCGGGGTGTGGCTCAGGGGAACAGGGCGTGCTTCCAGGAGGCCCTGAGTTCAAACCCCGGCACCAAAACACGGATGAGCTGTAGGTCTGCTGCGACAGGTAACGTGAGATGTGGACAGATCCCCACGAGACTTGGTGACATGGGGATGGGGCAAGCAAGAGGAGGAGGCGAGCCTGAAACGAGTCACAGACAGGGACTTCCCTCCGAGGGTCCCTATGTCTCCAACAGAGCAAGAGCAGGTCACGGCTGAAGTGGGCCTGGAGAGGGAGGGACGCAGGGTGGAGGCTTGGGTGTGACACGGCAGCGGTGCAGGGAGACCTCTGAGGTTGCCGACACGGGCACGTAAGGAGCCCAGCCCGCCAGGCTGCTTAGGGGCATTTAACTGCCACACACGGCAGGTGCCAAGTGCGGGCTTTCTCCCACTCACCGGATCCGCTCCATTGAACAGATGAGAAAGTCCAGGCTCAGAAAGGCTCTCCGGCTTGCCCAAGGTGCACAGCTGTTAGGGACAGGGCAAGGAGCTGGGGCCCACACCCTAGGAGCCTGATCACCACTGTCCTGGGACTGGGTTGGCGGTCACACTTGGTAGTGCTCGTGGCCACCAGTTGTAGTCAGAAGTGGGGAATGACGAAGAGAGGTCACAGCTTCCCCTTTCCTGTAGTATTTCTGGGCCACTGGTGTTTGGGGCCAGCTGGGCTCAGAGGCCCCTGAGTGCTGGTTCTTTGGAAATCTTCCTGCCCTGCAGTGACCCCTGCACCTAGATTGCTCGTCCTCTCCAACCCCGTCTAGGAGTGCCGGGATGTTGGGGTCCGTGGCTCCTCGTCTCCTGATTCCCCGCCATCCTTCAATCAGCCTCATCTTCACTAAAGCCTGTGGCCCGGGGGGCCCCAAGCTTGGTGTTATCGCCCTCCAACATCTTCAGAGCTGCTGCTGTCCCCACGGGCCTGTTTACAGGAACATTTCCGTATCTCACATGACATTTCCTGGAAGCCTTGATTGTTCCAAACAGAGATATTAATAAATTCTTGAGTCCTGAAAATGTGCAAGAGGTTCTTCAGGGCCTGCAAGCACATCTCACACCTTCCCTTTTGACCCCTGAGCAGAGAGTAATGGAATCTCCACGGCTGGGTAAATACCACGGAAAAAGCACCCTCGCCCGCCGTCCAGGGGATGGAACCCAGGGGTGCTCTACGCGCTACCACTGAGCTACATCCCCAGCCCTTTTAAACCTTTTGAGACAGGGTCTCACTTAGTTGTCACAGTCTGGACTTGAATTTGCAAGTCTCCTGCCTCAGCTTCCAGAGTAGCTGGGATTATGGGGGTGCACTACCGGCTAGAGCCCCCCTTAAGAACCGGCTCCTCACGAAACCCCAGGCTGTGATCTGTTGTGGTGTAATGGAGAACCTCAGAAGATGTTCATGTCCTGAGCCCTGGAATCTGTGAACATGACCTTATTTGGAAAAAAGAATCCTTGCATAGTTCTCAAGTTAAGGATCTCGAGATGAGATCATCCTAGATTATGAGTGGGCTCTAAGTCTACTGACGGGGGTCCATATGAGATTCACACAGGACATCGACAGACGTGGCCACAGAAGCACAGGCTGGAGTTCTGTGGCCACAAGTCTAGGGACACCCAGAGCCACCAGTAGCTGGAAGAGAGACACTAGGAACAGATTTTCTCCCAGAGCTGCGAGGTGGAGAGCAGCCCAGCCCAGCCGACACCTTGACTTTGGACTTCTGGCCAAACACACTTGAGTTGGTTCATCAGCCAAGTCCCGGGCAGTTTGCTACAGCAGCCCTAGGAAACCAACACGGGGTCTTCCATTTCAAGGATGCACGGGGCCTGAGATCTAGCATCAATTGGAATGTGCCAAAATCAAGGCCAAGTGTAGATCAAGCCAGCACAAAGCAGCCCACGCTGGCAAAAGCAGAACAAACTGGCTCAGGCTGTATCAAATCATCTTAAGTGGCTGCAACACTCCTCACCCTGCAGTGATGGGCGGACTGGAGGTAGGAAGCAGCTTCGAGCCCTGGCTCAGCACACCTGCAAGCTGGGGCGTGTTTCTAAACTCTCAATGCCTCGGTTTCTCCTCAGTAAAATGAAGGATCAGTGAGGATTATGTGAGTTCACAGATGGAAGGCACCTGGAACGGGCGACTCTCAGCACAAAATAAGAGTCCGCTATTATCAAATACACCCAAATGGAAGCAGACACCGCCCCACTCTGACCAGCCCCGTGGACTCAAGTGTGTTTCAGTGGCCCCCCAGGGAAATTTAGCTGAAATAGTAGGAACCGGCACAAACCTCCTGAGTCAACGTTAAAACCAGATTTAACCAGTCAAAACAGTCTGGAAGGAGAGCCTGCTGTCACAGGGACTCCCCAGCCTTGGTGCATATCAGTTTGAGAAGCAGCAAACAGCCTCCCGCTCCCCCCAGGAGCACCCTGGGAGCCACTCGGAGAACAGACAGATGCACTTCCCTGTCGGAAACAGAACCGGCAGTGTGATTGCTGCTTAAAGAAACACTCAGATTCCTCTGTCAGCTCAAGGCTCAAATAGCAGAGCCCAGCTTCACACCAATTAAACAAGAGACCCGTCATGCAGACAGCAGTCCCCTTGCAGTCACAACCAGAAGCAGGGAAGGTAAGAAGAGTCCCCGGGAAATTGTCTCCCCTGACATCACCACGGAGGCGTTTAGGTCAAGACCAGGGCCCTCAGTTACCAGTCCCGGCTCTGCCTCTGACATGCTGCAGTGTGACCTTGGGCAGGTCACCATCCCTCCTGGGCCTCACTAACCCATATCTGAAATGACGAAGTGTCCTCCATGGTCACCAAGGGTGTGAAGCGCATAGAAATCCAAGAGATCATTCAGTTTGACCCTCTTGCGTGCAACCGAAGGGACAGTCATACAAAGGACCACAGTGACAGGGGAAGACAGGGAGCTGTCCCTGTCATTTATTGTCCATCTACTGTGGATGATGAAGTCCCTTTCCTGCACAGCACAGATGTCATGGCCTCCCCCAGGGCCTGGGTGTTGGACATGGGTCTCTCATTCCTCCCCGCGGGCCCCACAGGGATAATCATCCCCACTTCACAGGCGAGGAAACAGTTCCAGAGGGAAGACTCACTCAGATGCAGCTATTTGAATCCTGGTCTCTAGGGCAGAAGGGAGAAGGGCAAATGCCAGAGATAAAAGGTTGCGCGTCACCCAGAACCAACTCATGGAGGCGAGAAGAGCAAGGCTGCGGGCTCGGGAAGAGACTGTGGGGACAGGATCTCGAGGGTTCCTTTCAAAACAATCATTTTTATTTGATTTTTTCATCCATTAGTATGTTCTTATGGTTCAAAAGTATATATTTTAAAAGCTGACAATAAAAGTCTCTCCTGGGGGTGCAGCTCAGCGGTAGAGCATTTGCCCAGCAAGTCTAGGGCTCGGGGTTCCATCCTCAGCACGGCAAAGCCAAAAAAATATTGTTCCCATTCTGACTCCGTGTTGCCACCCCCTACTTTTTCTTAGCATCTCCTGTATTCTTTCAGAGTTTCTTTTTTTGGTACTAGGGATTGAACCCAGGGACACTTTACCACTGAGCTACATTCCCAGTCCTTCTTTTTATGACACAGGGTCTCACTGAGATGCTTAGGCCTCCACAAATTGCTGAAGACCTCAAACTCGTGATCCTCCTGCCTCAGCCTCCTAGGCCGCTGGACCATAGGTATGTGCCACTGTGCGGGGCGAGCTCAGTTCTTCTTCTTGACCGAATTTGGTTGCTCGGGGTTGTAGAGCTGAGGCCCCTGCTGTCTTGCTGGCTAGAAGCTGGAGGCCTCCCTCAGCCCCCAGAGGGCAACCACAGTCCTTGTCACGCAGCTCCCTCCGGCTTGGAGCCAGAGATGACACAATGCGTCTTTCTCATGCTTCAAATCTCTGACCTCTGCCAGGGAGAACGCCCTACTTTTAAAGGACTCACCTGATCAGGTTTTACCCACCCAGGGTCACCTCCCAGTCTCTATGGACATGGGACCTAACTTACATTCGCAAAACCCCTTTGGCCATTTCGTGGAATGTCATCGTCATGGTTGAGTTCAGCCTCAGCGTATTCATAGATCCCACCTACACAGGGTAGGGACCACCCAAGGATGAAGGCAGTAAGGGTCACCTCAGAGTTCTGCCTACACAGTCCCCTGTGTGATTTTTGGTAGGTAGTGCCATCTTGTCCCCGTGGGGGTTTGGTCCAGCAGTAACAGCATGCCGGCATCTCCACATGCTTCCTAAAGAATGTTATCAAGCCTGGATGTCTGCCAATCTGATAGGTGAAAAATGAACTCTCAACATATTTTAAATTTATGATTATCTGCTTTTGAATAAGACTGAGCATTTCTTCAAAAGCATAAGAGCCACTTCTAATTTTTTTTTAATGGCTTCTAGTTTTAAGATCTTTCTAACTCCAAAATTAATTAGAAGCCCTCCTATGTTTTCTTCTAGGGTTTTCATATCTTTTCGTTTGGTACTGGGGGTTGGACCCAGGAGGACTTTACCACTGAGCTACATCCCCAGACCTTTTTATTTTATTTTTTATTTGGAGACAGGGCCCTTGCTAAGTTTCTGAGGCTGGCCTCGAAACTGCGATCCTCCTGCTTCAGCCTCCCAAGTCGCTGTGATTACAGGTGTGTGTATCACTGCACCTGACTCATGGTTTCATTTTTTTATCCACTGGTTCTTGGAGCTAGAAGCGTCTCTTATTTTTCTCAGCAATGACCACAAAGTTGGACCCCCCCCTTGCCTGGGATCTGGGGTGGAGAAAGGAGCTGTGACCACGGTGGAGCCCCCTGAGTGTTGATTCTGGAGCTTCTTCCAGCACTCATGGCACCCTGGGCTGGCAGAGGGGTCCAGAGTTGAGGGGCGCCCTCCCTGCCTGGGTAGCTTGGGATCTGGGAGTTGGGCAAGCCCATGGCCAGGCTGCCAGGGACAGAACCAGGCTGGGAGCACAGGGAGCCGGTGGGGATAGAGATGGGGGTGTGCAGGAGGCTCCACCGAAGAGCTGGTGTGTAAGCTGAGCCTAAGGATGAGGGGGAAAGGTGATAACAGTGCTGGGGAGGGAGGCACCTCAGTGCAGGAAGCAAGGACCTGGAGGTGGGAAAACCAGCCCCAAACCCAGCCGGGGGAGGGTTCCCCAGACCACCAGTCATTAAGGATAGGAAGCAGGTGAGGCTTATCTCTGTGCCTCCTCCTCTGTGCCAGAGGAGGCATCAGCCAGTATGATAAGTGAAATGAAGCGGAGGGGAAACAGGTTTTGAATCCCAAGCTAAAGCATTTTCTCTTTATTCTGACAGTGAGAAGCCAAGACCACCAAGAAGGAGGCGTGGGCGGGTTGTCTTGGCAGAACCTGGGCATTCTCTGCGCACCACTGCCCCCTTGTGGCTAAGGTAGGAATTCTCCATGACCAGCCTCCAGTGTCAGGTCTAAGCAGAGGAAATTCCAGAACTACAGGGGAAAAGGAGGGCGAGTCCGCCTAAGAGAACTGAAAGACCACGAAGTCCTGAGTCCAGTGGGCACTCATATATCCAGCTCTGAATTTGTATGTAAACATGAAAAAATCAAGCCTCAAAGAGTACTGTCAGGGAGTGAAGAGAACGCTAGATCTGGTGATAAGACAGCCCTGGCTTGTTGCTTCCTGGTTGAAAGATTCTGGGCAGTTGGTTACTGTTTCCATCTCTATAGTCTGCAGCCTGGAGTCTGGCTGACTTCTTTTCTGGGAAGGCCAGCTGAGTTATTCAGATGGGTCCTCCCACTGAAAGCAGTTAAACGTGCTGAGATACTGGCATAGCCAGGGGTTAGGAGTTACCAGACCAGAACTGAAAACAGCAACCTAGATAAGCCAAGCAGGAAATTCACTTTTACTCTGAGGACATTTCTGAATCTGGCTAATAGGAACTAGTGTTTGGATGGGTCCCTTGGGCAAAGGGCACAGGTACAAATCCAGAGCCCAGAGAGGCAGATCAAATAGAAGACCCTCCCCAATGAGCTGGGATTCCAAAGAGCCACACTCTCAGAAGTAAACCAGCCCCCAGAATGACCTAGCTTATATCTCCTGAGTGCTCTGTGATTTCAAGCCTTGAACCTGGATCAAGATGTTCCCAGACTGTTTGTGCCTCAGGCTCCTGGAAGAAGAAATGGAAATCCTCCTTAAAGGTGAGTTCCTTCAGTGTGGGCTCCACATTAGGCACACAGTGGCAAGCACTCGGTGAAGACAGCGAAGCACACAGAGAAGGGGAACAGACTCCATGGCAAGAACCAGAAGAAGCAAGAGACAATAAAACCCATAAAGGACTGAAACATGAATTATTTCACATAGACGATAAAACGGCGATTCTTCTTCTTTTTTTCTTTTTTTTAAATATTTTTAGTTGTAGATGGGAACACAATACTTTATTTATTTATTTTTATGTGGTGCTGAGGATCAAACCCAGTGCCTCACACATGCAAGGCAAGCGCTGTACAACTGAGCTACAATCCCAGCCCAAACGGTGATAAATATAATCTTAAATAAGCAAAAGACTAGCTTGAAAATATTTCATGAAACAGGGAAATGATAAAAAGTGTAAAACATGGGAAACTATAAAAAGTAACAGTAGGGCTGAGGATATACCTCAATTGGTAGAGTGCTTGCCTTGTATGCACAAGGCCCTGGGTTCAATCCCCAGCAACACACACACACACAGTAACAGTAGAAAAGAGATTTTAACTTCCAAAAATGAACAATATAATAATTAGAAAATCAAAAGGAAGTTAAAAGCAGATTGGATATAGCTGAAAAGAGAATTGGTGAACTGGAAGAAAAGCCAGAAGAAATGATCCAGAAAGAGCATGAGAGACAGGAGGAATAAAAAAAAATAATACAGCAGAAAGCATAAAAGACCTGGAGAATAAATGAGAATCGTCTAACATTTATTTAACTAGAACTTTAGAAAGAGAGAACAAATGGGAAAGACATGATATTTGAAGGATTAGTAACTGAAAATTTCCCAGAACTGATACATCATCAATCTACAGATTCAAAAACCCAAGCAAATTCCAAGCCAGACACACACACACACACACACACACACACACATTTGTATTTATAAGTATATTTAATTTACATTCAGAAAGACCTACATACTGTATGGTTCCAACTATGTGACATTCTGGAAAAGGCAAAACCATGAAAAGGATGAAAAGATCAGCGGCCATCAGGGGCTGGGGGTGGGAGGACGGATAGGTGAGTGCACGGAGTGCTTAGGATAGTGAAAGCGTTTAGTTTGACACTGTAATGGTATATACATGTTTTACATTTGTGAAAAGCCATAGAATGTACAAAATGAAGAGGGGTTCTTTGAAAAGATTAATAAAGTAGCCGGGTGTGGTGGCACCACCTGTAATCTCAGCCACCTGGAAGGCTGTGGCAAGAGGATCCCAAGTTCAAAGCCAGTCGCAGCAACTTATCGAGGACCTTAGCACCTTAGTGAGGCCCTGTCTCAAAATAAAAAATAAAATGGGCTGGGGATGTGCTCAGTGGTTAAGCACCCCCGAGTTCAATCCCTAGTACAAAAAAAGAAAAAGAAAAGAAAAGAAAGAAAGAAAAAACAAATTAATAAAATGGATAAACCCCTAGCAAGAATGAAGGGGGTGGGTAGGCAAATGTTGCCTAATATTAGGACAAAAGAAAGAATATCACTCCCGGGGTGGGGGCTGGGGCTCAGTGGTAGAGGGCTTGCCTAGCATGGGTGAAGCATTGGCTTTAATTCGCAGCACTGCATATAAATAAATGAATAAAATAAAGGCCCATCAACATCTAAAAATTTTTAAAAAATTTTTTTAGTTGTCAATGGACCTTTATTTGATGCTGAGAATCAAACCCAGGGCCTCACACATGCTAGGCAATCGCTCTACCACTGAGCCACAACCTCAGTTCCTAAAAATTTTTTTTAAAAAGAAAGATTCTACACATAAAAACAATATGAACTACTTTAGGTCAATAGATTTAACAAATTCCTTGAAAGAAACAACTTATCAAAACTAACAAAGAAATAGAAAATCTAAATAATCTCTACACCAATTGAAGAAATTGAACTTGGAATTAAGAAAAAATTCTAACAAAGATTACTCCAGTTCAAGTGGCTTTAAGGAAAAAATAACACCAACTTCTACAAACTCCTTCACAGTGTGAGGGAAGAAAGATCACTTCCCAATATACTTTATGAGGTCAACATAAGCCTAACACCAAATCAGGCAAAGATGTTGTTTTTAAAAACCACAAAGCAATATCCTTTATAACCATAGTTGCAGAAATCCCTAACAAAATATTAGCAAATCAAATTAGTTACATATAAAAAGGACAGAAATATCATGAGCAAATGGAGTTTACCCTAGAAATTTAAGATTCGTTTAATAGTCAAAAATCAATTATTGTAATTTACTATCAAGAAAATCAAAATAATCTCAAATGAATCCAGAAAGAAAACATTAAATCGGGCAGATTGCAAATTCAAGGCCAGCCTGGGTGACTTAGCAAGAACTAATCAATTTAGAGAAACCCTGTCTCAAAAAAAAAAAAAATGTCTAGGATGTAGCTCAGTAGTAAATTGTCTCTGGGTTAAAGTCCCAGTTCCTCCAAATAAATAAATAAATAAAAATTAAAAATAAATAAAAGGGGCTAGGGGTGTAGCTTAGTGACTACTAAGTACCGAATCCCAGTATAAAAATAAATAAATAAATAACACCCACTCATTATTTAGAAAGCAAAACAAAACATACACACACACACACACACACACACACTCAGCCCTAACAAGCTAGGAATAGAAAATAACTTCTAATAAAAGACATTCATGAAACATTTATAGCTAACATCATATTTAATTAATAGAGAAACACTGAACAGGTTTTCACTAAGATTCCCTAAGGCAAATATTTTTCTTATCCCTTCTATTCAGCATTATTTTGGAAAGTGCGGCCAGTTCCATAGTTGAGAAAAAGAAATAAAAGATATAAATGCAGGGTGGGGGTGGGGGGGAGCAGTGTGAAATTGTCATTTTTCCACATCACATGATTGGGTAGATAGTAAATATGTGGATTCTACTCCCTCCATCTGTACCCTCCCCCCCCCAAAAAAAAAAACCCTACTAAAATTAAAAGTGAATTCATCAGGGTTACAGATACAAAATTAACATACAAACCCCCAACTTTTTGTATTCATACCACAATCAACTGGAAGGTGAAATTAAAATACTGTTTATAATAGTAAATACAGAGTCAGTGGGTTTTTAACTGTCTTCTAACAAGGGGACAAGTTAAATCAGTGGGGGAAAGAAAACACTTCATAAACCATGCTGGAGACATCGAGTATTCACTTGAAAAAAAAAGTAAATCTTGGAGCTGGAGGTGCGGATCGGTGGTAAGATGCTTGCCTAACATGCACAGTATTATTTACTATGTTATTTATTTATATTATTTACTATTATGTTGTATTATTTAATATATTATTTATTGTATAAATAATAATAATTTCAATTCCTATTTCTTCCACGAATAAAAAATTAATTTGCCATATAAAACCAAATGAAGGGGGCTGGGGTTGTGGCTCAGTGGTACAGCGCTTGCCTAGCATGTGTGAGGCACTGGGTTTGATCCTCAGCACCACATAAAAATAAACGGATAGAATGGGGGCATTCTGTCCATCTACAACTAAAAAAAAAAAAATTAAATAAAACCCAGGGCTGGGATTGTGGCTCAGCGGTAGAGTGCTCACCTAGAATGGGCAGGACCCGGGTTCGATCCTCAGCACCACATAAAAATAAAGGTATTGTGTTGTGACAATCTACATCCAAAAAAATATAAATAAATAAAAATATTTAAAAAAATAAATAAAATAAAACCCAAATGAAAAAGTTAGAACCCCAAAACACACAAGAAGAAAACACAAAGGTCATCTTTACCACCTTGAGGTTGGTGAAAGTTTCTTAGAACCCAAAAAGGAGTGTCTGTAAGAGAAAAATATTACACACTGAACTTCATCAAAATAAAAACTGTGTTCTCTCAAGAGATACCTTTAGCCAGGTGTAAATGTCGCACAGCCGTAATCCCAGCAACTCAGGAGGCTGAGGCAAAGAGGATCGCAAGTTCAAGGCCAGCCTCAGCAACTTAGCAAGGCCCTCAGCAACTGAGTGACCCTGTCTCAAAATAAAAAAAAGTAAAAAGATGGGGTATGAGATGTATCTCAGCATCCCTGTGTTCAACCCCCAGGAGAGAGAAGGGGTAGGGGGCGGAGAGAGAGAGAGAAGGAGACAGACACCTTTTAGGAAAGTGAATAGGCAAAATATAGGCTTGGAAAAATGCACACGGTCCATCTGACAAAGAGCTTGTTTTCAGAGCATACACAGAGCTGTGCGATATAAAAAAGATGATCCAATTAGAAACGGATGAAAGATTGTGGTCAACTTGCACTGGGGCCCCTTGGGTAAGCTCTCACAGCCAAAAAACAGAGCTGCTGGCAAAATCACAGATAAGACTGAGGGTTAGGAAGGAAGAGTTCTCACGCACATTGGCCCGAGAGGAGCCGGCACGAGAGTCTGCCAGAGCACAGCTTTGCATGAAAGCCACCACAGC